TAGGAGGGGGGCGATCTGTCACGTGTATGTTCCTGTTGCCCTTATTTGGTTCTTCCTTTGTCCTGTCCTCATTGGTTATAATTTGTGTCCAGCTGTGTTTGATTAATTAGTTCATTTGCTCCTAGGTGTGTCCCATTGGTGTCTGTGCATTTAAACCCTGTGTTTCCCAGTGTTTTCTGTCTGCTGTTAAATGTCATTCTGTCTACTTGATGTCTCCAGTGTTTCCTGTGATCCGAGCGTTACCCTCATTAAACCCTTTTGATTTGTATTACTCCTCGTCTCCTCGCTCCTTCGTTCCTTCCTCCCCGAGTGACCGTGACAATAATGTGCAAGTTTAATTCTGTTTGTGGACTTGCTTGTGGTCTCAATAAAATATACATTAATGGGTGCTGGAAATAGAGATAAACATGAATAATTATAGAGCTCTTTTTGGATCCGTCCAGAATAGTTTACTTAAGGGTCATAATTTTTTCATTGCTTGGCCAATTTATGAGAAACACCATGTACATTATATAGCTTTTGAATAAAATTTTCACTTTACCATCAATTTCAGTAAATCACCTATAATAGTGGTTTATGCCTGTGTTATTTTAGTATTAATGAGATACTATTTTAGTTTTTATTAATATTTTGAATTATATTTTATTTTTATATGTTTTCATTTATTTGAAACTTTAGTAATTTTGTTGTGTGTTTTTGACATTAGTAGTTTTTATTCGTTTTTTTTATTATTAGTTTTTTAATACATTTATATAGTTTAATCCATTTTTAATTTAATTTTAGTTATTTTAGTACATCAAGTTAAACTAAATGAAAATGAGAACGGTTGCCTTGGCAACTAGCTGAATGCAGTTTTTAAAAATTTAAATACTTTTAATTGTATTTCAGTTAAAATTTATTTTACTTTGAATAACAAAACTTTTTTATGGTTTTAGTTTTAGTTAACTATAAAGTTCTTCATGGTAAATGTCCAAAAACAGTATTGTTTTGTTTTCAGTAGGATTTTCAGTAGAATTGTACATAGAGCAACATTTGAATTAAAAAAATTGTGAAGCTGCCTTGTTATTGTTTATTTGTTATTGTACAGGGTTTTGTTTAAATTGATGTAGTAATTAATACTTTTGACTCATCCCTTTTCTTAAAAATATTTTAAAGGCTGAAATGTGCAGTTTATCATTTTATAAAACTTTTTGTTTTTGTGAAAACCTAAATCTGAACTACAAATAACTATGGTCGTTATTTCCATTGAACTCTATTGGTAATGACGGAATTTGCGACCATAGTTTCTTTTGGGAAATACACCCCTGATGATCAGTGTATCACTGCGCAACACCCTTAGAAACATAACCAATCCATATACTACTATCAAAAACTCTTCCATCTATTTTGTAATTGGGCATAAAGTAGTTTATTATTTATGTAATGAAGTATGAGTGACCCTTGCTGGCGGTATGTTGCGTCATTCACCTTTGATTCTGAGAGCCCGTCCTTCCCGCTGTCAAAGAAAACGAATGTTTTCTTATGCTGAGAGATAAACAAATATCATATGATGCGGAAACATCATATATTGTGTTAAAAAATAATGAGCTGATGAGAACAGTTCTTGGGCTATTTTTGTCTATTTTTTTCCATCAGATGAGGGTGTTACAACTGAACATTGCTGTAGACTGAAACAGTTACTGTAACAGGGACTATTTTTCCTAGCGGAAGGATGGCATTTAATGATTTTACTTAAACAAAAAGTAATATTAAGGGCTGAGTAATTTTTCAAAATTCATGTCTCAAGCTCTTGGATTTATTCTTCTTTGCATGTGTGTCCTGTAGGAATGCTTCCAGTTCATCCTGCCCGCTCTCCCGCACGCCATCGACCTGCTCCGAGAAGCTGTGGTCAAAATGAAAGAGGTGCCAAACGAGCTGGAGGACTTGCCCTCGCCTCCACCTCCTCCGTCCCCGCTGCCTGCCAGCAGCCCGCACCGGCAGACCGAGGACAAGGGTGTGCAGTGTGAGGACGAGGAGGAGGAGAAGAAGGACAGTGGTGTGGCCTCCACAGAGGACAGCTCCTCCTCGCACATCACTGCCGCCTCCATCGCTGCCAAGGTAAACCTGTAGCTATATATAAATCAGTTATGCTATACAAAAGTGTTTCTCACACAAGGGCATAGAATTTAGTAGGGATGCTAGTGACATGTCCCTGCCAACATCCAGCGACTACTAAATTATCCCTAGCAATAGTTTTGATAAAACAGTTAAATATATGTATATGTAACTACTGTTGTTGTAATTTTGGCCGCATATGAAATAGGTCATATCATTCATTGATATTACCTGAGAAGTTAAAGTAAATATGCTAGAAAAGTACATCCTTGAAACTGAGCTTTTCGAAACTTCGAAATCAGTTCAAGCATTGCATCGCAAAATGATTAACTGTTTCGAAGCGCTCCAATTGGATTGCGAATCATTTGATTTAGATCGGAACTTCAGAGCGGGTTTGTGAATCTTTACATTCATTGTAGCGAGTTCGTTAATCATTTCATGAATTGAAAGATTTGTGATACGCACTCCGAAGTTCAAATCTGAATTGATGGTTCACAAATCATTATTTACGTAGTTCAGAGCGTGGAGCGTGACTCATTTGTCTTAGATCGGAACTTTGGAGCGGGTTTGTGAATCTTTTAATTCAGATCGGGACTTCGGAGCGTGGAGCGCGAATCATTTGACTTAGATCGGAACTTCGCAGTGTGTTTGTAAATCATTATTCAGATCTAGACTTCGGAGCACATGTCGCGATTCATTTGATTTAGATCGTGATTTCAGAGCGGGTTAGTGAATCTGTTGATTCAAATCAGGACTTCGGAGCGTGGATCACGAATCATTTGATTTAGATCAAAACTTCAGAGAGGGTACATGAATCTTTTAATTCAGATCGTAACTTCGAAAAGCATATCGCGAATCATTTGACTTAGATCGGAACTTTGCAGTGTGTTTGTAAATCATTATTCAGATCTAGACTTCGGGAGCGCATGTCGCGATTCATTTGATTTAGATCGGGATTTCAGAGCGGGTTAGTGAATCTGTTGATTCAAATCAGGACTTCGGAGCGTGGATCAGGAATCATTTGATTTAGATTTGGACTTCGGGGCACGGATCGAAAATCATTTGATTTAGATCAGAACTTCGGAGCGGGTTCATGAATCTTTTGATTCAAATGGGAACTTCGGAGGTCGTATTTGGAATCATTTGGTTCAGAACGGTACTACTGCATATCGTGAATCTTTACAGTTTTACTACAAATACCATGGTTAAACTATGGTTAGTGTAGTAAAACCATGGTTAATTAGTGGAAACAATGGTTTTTTTTTTTTTTTTTTTAGTAAAACCATGGTTAATTTTCAGAAGGGATGTGTTGCCAGGTTAACAAAAAAAGTAATACATTTACACCTTAAGAGGATACATACGACAATACATAGGAGCTTTGGATAGTTTCCAAATACTGGTCTACATCAACTCTGAATAAAGAAAATAGAGGTTTAGAGACAGATTTTTGTTTATGTATGTGAAATTCAGCTAGCAGGGAACACAAATTAATTAAGTTATTCTTTGCTAAATTCTCTTTTGAGTACTCAAACAATCAAAACATCTTTAAAACTGCTGCTGTAATGTTGTTGGTTTAATCAAACTTTTGTAATTATTGTCTGATGAATATGCTAACATAAAAAAGCTCTCTTTATGAATTGAGTATGTTAGTTACCATAGCTGTAAATAAAGACTTTAGATGACGTGAAACTGTGGTCAAAAGTCTATCATAAATGTAGAAATGTCTGTGTAGGTGGATGGGAAGGGGGTGTTGTCTGCTGTTATGTCCTCTTTAATGTCAAAATCAAACCTTCACCCTAGTTCTCACATGACTGTGTTGGACGTTTGCAGGTGTTCCATTTGTCTTCATTCTCATCATGATATTGTGTGTCATCTTCATGTGTGCTGCAGCATCCACTGGTGTGAGTGAATATCATGACAGCATCTTCACATCATTTGTGTGCTTGTGGTGTTTGTGTCGACCTCATTCATCATTTATAATTTGTGTTTAAAAACAATTCTCTGAATTGCCTTCACACAGTCTTCAAATAAGATCTGAATGTAATGTTTCAGACACTTAACTGCATGTTATTTGCAATTAAATGAAAATGTATTATAATGTAAATTTATATTAAATTCATTTAGTTGACCTTTTTTTATCCACTTATGTGGGACTAACTACTTCTATTGTTTTGGAATATGATTATGTGTACTGCCAAGTGTAAACTAAAATTTTATGTAATTTTTATTCAGACTTGTATGTTATGTATTTAAATATTTATAATTGCTGATTTGCAATGATGTTGCAATTAGTATATTTAAATACATAAAAACATATTAAATACATTTAGCATGTTACTACATGCATTACCTCGAAATGCATTGTTATTTTTAATATAATTATGGCTTAACATTCCTCACAATTTTCTACTGAATACTGAAAAAGTTGATTGAACTGCCACAGTCTTCTCCTTTTTCACATAGAAAGAGTTAGTGAGTCATACTAGGCCAAAATACTTGAAAAATCTAGAAATACTGTTCCATCCGTGGACTTTTTAGCATATTATTTTCAGTGTACTACAACCTGGAACACACTAAATAGAACGCAGATTGGGACGTATGCGAAGTGTGTGATTAGAAACATGACAAGAACATGTTTCACCACAAGCTCAGTGGAAACAAATGATTTCAAAACTTGCAGACTTTTTACATTATTTAATTCACAAATTATAAGAGAGCAGATGTTTGGAAGTTTATGATTTTAATAAACATCCTTCTTTTATGTCTCAGATTCCCGACTCCATCATCTCACGGGGCGTCCAGGTTCTTCCCCGTGACACGGCGTCTCTGAGCACCACGCCGTCCGAGTCGCCACGCGCCCAGGCTACCTCCCGCCTCTCCACCGCTTCCTGTCCCACCCCCAAGGTGAGAGTGCCTCACTTCCTGTTCCCTGTCCTCGCACTGTTCGCTTCCTGTCTGCCGTTCCTCTGCCTCCCCACCTCGCTCACCCTGCTGCCGACCTCCACGCTCACCTCACCCCAAAACCCCTGTCAGAGTCCCATCCGTGTGTGGATTTCACAGGTTTCCGTTTCATATGTTGGATACTGAAGAATTCTGCAGTTTTGTCTTGTTTTCCAGGACAAATATCTAACCATTCTTAAATCAAAATGCATTTACTTGAGAAATGAAATATGTTTTGTTTTCTGAATAGTTAAGGAAGTTATGTGTTAAAAAAAATGCCAGTGGGGTCATAAAAATAAACTTAATTCAAAGGGAAAACAAGATTCAATTTCTGACCTCATTTGTAGATTATTTTTTTCTAGTTTAAACAAAAACACACTTAATTTTGATAAATTTTTCAGAAAACAGTGCTTGATATCTTGAAGTCATTTTGCATTTCCAATAAATGTATTTTAATTTAAGTTTAGATATTTGTATTGGAAAACAAGACAACATTACTGAGGAAGGAAGTTTTTTTTTTTTTTTTTTGCAAGGAATTTATAAAAAAAATGTATATAAATATTTGGTTCTTCCCCGTGACACGGCGTCTCTGAGCACCACGCCGTCCGAGTCGCCACGCGCCCAGGCTACCTCCCGCCTCTCCACCGCTTCCTGTCCCACCCCCAAGGTGAGAGTGCCTCACTTCCTGTTCCCTGTCCTCGCACTGTTCGCTTCCTGTCTGCCGTTCCTCTGCCTCCCCACCTCGCTCACCCTGCTGCCGACCTCCACGCTCACCTCACCCCAAAACCCCTGTCAGAGTCCCATCCGTGTGTGGATTTCACAGGTTTCCGTTTCATATGTTGGATACTGAAGAATTCTGCAGTTTTGTCTTGTTTTCCAGGACAAATATCTAACCATTCTTAAATCAAAATGCATTTACTTGAGAAATGAAATATGTTTTGTTTTCTGAATAGTTAAGGAAGTTATGTGTTAAAAAAAAATGCCAGTGGGGTCATAAAAATAAACTTAATTCAAAGGGAAAACAAGATTCAATTTCTGACCTCATTTGTAGATTATTTTTTTCTAGTTTAAACAAAAACACACTTAAATTTATTTTGATAAATTTTTCAGAAAACAGTGCTTGATATCTTGAAGTCATTTTGCATTTCCAATAAATGTATTTTAATTTAAGTTTAGATATTTGTATTGGAAAACAAGACAACATTACTGAGGAAGGAAGTTTTTTTTTTTTTTTTATTTGCAAGGAATATATAAAAAAAATGTATATATATATTTGTAGATCATTTTCAGAGGGCAGTCTATTGGAGTTTCATCTTGCACAGCACAAACTGTCTTCTGGCATTTCTTCAGCAGTTTTATTTCAGCAAAAACGCTACATTTAATGCAAAATATCGAACAAACACAGTTGCAATGCTCTAAAGGTCTAAACTGCTCCTTTGCAAACTGTAAAAACAAATGTGAAACGGCACCATCAAACTGCTAAAAAAGTGTTTAGAAGTCATTTTTAAGCCATACAATATTTTGTGTGATTCACAGACCAGAATTGAAGTCAATATTTATGGATGACTTTTATTAAATTATCATAATTTTAAACGCTAAAAAACGCCAGAGTAGAAAACCTGTTCACTGTTTAACAGCAAATTCCCTTACTATATATGGTGAAAAACTCTAATAAATCTAATGGGATGTTTTAAATTTACAGTTTTTGTAAGTGAAAAAGATTTTATAATTTTTTGTCATTTTTTAATTTACAGTACAAGTTTACACAAAGTATACATATACCAGAATTAACCGGGGGGGGGGGGTTTTCATTGAAATAGCTGTTTCTTCTTAGTTTCTTGTCACTTATAAACATTAGGGTTTTATATTGCATCTTATGTTGCTAAATTAATATTTATTGCATTATTTTAGCGTGACCATGATAGTGTTCGTGTGAATGCCACCTTATATATTAGTATTGACCTCAGCTTGTGGAAAAACTTGTTGTGATGAAAACATGTTGTTTTTTCATTACCAACAGTGTTTTATGATGGTTGTCAGTGTACTATAAAAGTACAAAACTAATGTTAGTCCTCCAGTAGGCTGGTATATATATTAGCGTTAACTGTATTTTAAGTTCAATCCGTAAAATCTTGCCATCATATATTTTTTTTTAAGTTCTGGCAACCACAGATGCCAGTTTTTTTACCATAAACTCCACAGCTTTTTCTATTTTTTTATTTTAACAGTATGGTGTATTTATTTATATATGTATTTATAAAGTATTTAGCAATGTTTTGGCCAGTTGACCTTCCTCGGGTTTAGAATGTACGCAAATTATCAACAAATTTAAATTCATGTTTTTTTATATATGGATTTATATAATTCTAGTCATTATTATCTGAAATTATTCCCTTCCACCATTGCTTTTAAAACTTGTTTTTGCCATGCATTTTTAGATTCCAGTGTTATTTTAGCATCATTGAGATGCTATTGTAATTTTTATTAATATTACAGTATGGTGCTTTTTGTGCTTTTGCGATAAATGTGGGATAAATTTGGAAAAAGTGTTAAATTAATTGCAAATAAAGATGAATGTTTATAAATGTCTATTCGACTGAAGATGAACATTCGACTGAGTTTTCTGAACATTTATTACATTTATGTCTTTGGCATTATGCTTTTGTCTAAGTGACTTACATTGCATTCAAGCTATACATTTTTTGTGCAATTTATGCTTTCCCTGGGAATCGAACCCATGACCTTGGTGTTGCTGACGCCATGCTTTACTGTGTGAGCTGCAGGAATAGGACTATCCTGTAACTTTGACCCGTGTGGCTCCAGACTCTCACCCAAAGCGTCAGCTCATATGTCACTGTCATTTCTCGCCCCGCTGTGTGGATGTGGATGGTTGTCATGGGAGCGGGCGTTGCCGTGGAGACTGTACTGCGCTCATATGCGTGAGAGAGTTTGTATAAGTGTCAGTTTGACAGAGATGCAGAATTCTGTCATCATTTACTCGCCTATTACCCATTGTCATTTTCAAACCTGTATAACTTAGATTTCCGACGTTCATGCTGTTCTTTCCTATATAATGAAAACATTTACTGACCAGGGGCTGTTGAGCTCCAAAAACAAAAAATGCTCCATAAAAACAGTCCATATAACTTATGCGCTATATTTTAATTCATTCAATACATTTGTATCACAAACAGACCAGTATGTTTATTCATTATTAGTTAATAAAAATAATATAATGCCTTCCACACCTGAATTATTAATTGATTTGTAGGATGGAAGTACATTATAAACTAAGAAATATATCAGCTTGGCACACTATTCCAACTTGCATCATCAAGTATTTTTTAATTAGCAATGTTTCAGTCTTTCAACCTTCCTCAGTCTTACAACGTACACAAATTACCAACTAATTTAAATGTGTATATATATTTTTTTATTTTATATATATATATATATATATATATATATATATATATATATATATATATATATTCATATTTCTAAAGAGTTTTTTTTTAGTAGTTTTACTTTTGGTTAATAACAATAACACTGAAAGTCACAGCCCATAATAATGATTTTCAATGTGTATAATGTGCAATTTAAATATTTTTTTAATTTTAGGATTTTTAGAGTTTTTCCCCCCCCTTAATAAAAAATATATATTTTTGCATTTGCAACCTGCTGTTGATTAATACAGAAAATAACGTACTTTAATCGTGCAGCATGCATATACACTACAATTGAAAACTGTGTGGGTCAGTAAGAGGTTTTTTAAAGGAATTAATACTTTTATTCAGCAAGGAGCAGGCCCGTTTCTTGACGGGTATAGAAGGGTGGGCTGGCAGATATCCTGGGTGGGCATTCTTTAATCGTCATCAGAGGCGGACAGTAACTAAGTACATTTACTTGAGTATTGTACTTAAGTACACTTTTTGAGTATCTGTACTTTACGTTTTTTTTGTTTTTTTTATGTCAAATAAATCTTGCTGTTTTGCTTTTTTGTTAAAGCAGTGTTGCTGTTGTAAAGTTATACATCTACAGTTGTGTTGCTGGGTTTTAAAGCAGGTTTGATTTTTTATTTTCTTCCTTATCACTCTGTATTTACAGGATTTCACTGTCCACTCTGTTCAAATGTGGATGAATGGCTACACATAGATGTGTCCAGAGCTGTGTGAGATCGCTACCATCCTGCTTTTGTGGGGGTGGATAGGGGTGTTAAATATATATATATTTGTTTTGTTTTGTTTTTTCCCCCCATAGGTTTTTAAAGGGGTCGTGTGATGCAATTTCAATTGTTCCTTTCTCTTTGGAGTGTTACAAGCTCTTGGTGCATAAAGAAGATCTGTAAAGTTGCAAAGAATAAAGTCTCAAATCCAAAGAGATTCTTTATAAAAGTTAAGAGTCAACCACGCCTACCTAAAATGGCTCGTTCTAACACGCCCCCACATGTCTACCTCACGATGTGGGAAGATTTGCATAACGCCGCCCAAATCTTCACGCAAAGAAAGAAGGCGTAACTTTTATTCTCGCTGTAGTATTGTTGCTGCCGCCATGTCGTAAAGGCGCTGTGTCTCGTTGTGAAAGTGAAACTACTTTGTTTGGTCTTCCAAAAGAGGACACGACTAGAAATCAGTGGTTAAGTTGTATTTACAACACTGTTCCAGAACACTTCAACCCAAAAAACCGCTCAGGTAATTTCAGTGGTAGGCTATGATACATATTCATGTAGCCTATTTAACTCCCCGTAACTCACAGACTAGCGCACAAATATTTCTGCCCATTTTTGCTCGTTGTCAGCCTCTGCTTTTCTGCAATTATTGTTGGGGCATTCTACAGCTATATCTTAAACTTCTTAAAATACAGTCCACTTCAGATTGATTTTAATCACTGCTTAAAAAAAATTAACACAATCTTTATCTAATTCTGATTGGGTGGGCAAGCAAGACTGTCATTTGGGTGGACTTAGCCCACCCCGCCCGTGCCTGGAGCCGTCCCCGTTAATGCACGTTTCTATTTTGATATATCAGATGTTTTGTCCTTTTCTGAAAACATAACCGACTGTGTTTACATAAATTTCGTATAAAAGTATTTGGAGATGCAAGTGCATTTAACCGCATCTGCGATTGAGCTTCAGGACATCAAGCACACGTGAAAGTCTGTCAGTATGTGAGTTTCATGCATCTTTACTGCATTCCAAACGGCATAAATTAAAGCATATCTGAAGTAAAATACTGAAATAACGGCGGGGGGGAGGCCACACCGTCAAGCAATAGGCCCGAATCTGTCTTTACAACTTTTACTTGTAATGGAGTAATATTTGACCAGCAGTATCTGTACTTTCATAATGGAGTTGTGTACTTTGTCCGCCTCTGGTCGTCATATCATCACATAGTCAAGAAAAATGCTATTGCCGTCATAATTAATTATAAAATACATGAATCATGTAAATGGCAGACCAACTTTCCTTTCAAAACCGTGGAATTTGACAACAGCAAAAAAAGTCGAATAGTTTGCATCACTGGATATTGTTGGTCGTTTGTGTTGGGGAACGCTACGTTTACAGTTGAGCCGCCTGTTGCAACGAATGCAACTTTCACCCCACAAGCTCTTTACTTTCAGTTTTCATTCTTACATTCAGCATTCTGATTGGGTGGGCAAGACTGTCAT